GCAGAGAAAAGCATGCTGAGTCTCTGGTATATGTGCTGAAACTCTCCTGAGGTTTTTTGGCTAGAGATACCAGAATTCTGGCTGAGGGAATTCCTAGTTAATTATGATAGTTGTAGTGATAAAAAAAATCCTTCACGTAGCATTTACTCACTAATTTGATAGTACACAAAGGGTTCCACTTAATGTACTATTAGTGATACAAATTTTTCTCACACAACCTACTGTTGGTCAGTGTGAGAACTTACTGGCTGAATTCAGCAGTAAGCTGCAATTAAAGTAGCCCCATTGAATCAATAGGGATTTCATGAGTCAACATCTATGTAAGTTCCATTGATTCAATGGGCCTACTCTGTTACTTTGTACTGAATTTCAGTCAATGAATTAAAAACAAGCACCAAGAAAGTGCAGTTGTATTAACTGAAATTTTCAATTGTTTGGTAAATTAATTATCTGTATTTTAACCAATTAACTCATTACATTTAAAGTAGCATGCATATTAGCAAAAACTGGTTATTTTTTTAAGACCGCAAACTGGGAAAGAACATTAATAGAGAAAATTTCTAGATTTTTAGCACACAAAAAAAGCCACCCCCAGTACATTATTTTCTGTACTGTAGCATTCTTTAATGCTAAAACAAAGAGCAAAACAGTTAACACACCAGTTCACCAGTTAAGATTAATTCATTATACACCACATGTGAATCAGCCTTATCCTATACATATTGACTACAAATGTGAAGAATATTCACTGAATTCCTCCCGTTTTTTACTTTGATCATCTCACCTGAACAAGAAATTTTGCAACCTTGCAAAATTTCTTGCCCCCAGCCAAAAGCATGACAAGAGCTTTTTCCACTGATGTCTCCATAAACTGGGGATGGAAAGACTATTCCATCAGTGCCTTGTTTTTTATTTATTTAGGCTGTCTGAAGACATTCAGAAACCAGCAAAGAGTCGGTCAAAGAGCTCCCGCTCCACTCAATTTCTCTGTAATATGTGCAAAATGTCTAATGTCCTATCCCTTTGAGAAGCAAAGGAGACACAGCAAGCACGAAAGACTGAATGATTGTTAAGTAAGATGCCAACAACCCATCCATTGCTTCAGATCTTAATAAACAATAACACTAGAGCTATCCTGGTTTTGTGCAACTTGTCCAAGCTTGCAATTGCATAAATTGCATAGTCTTGTGAAAAAATTGCCTGTTGTTTACAAAATAATATCATTAGTGATGAGCAGGATGTTGTGGTCCCTTGTTTGTATGACAATTGACTACTTATTATTTCTACCATAAAAACACAACAAGCACAAAAAGACCACCTGTTAGGAAAGTTAAATACATCCCACCCCCAATGCTCAAATTAGCAATGCAGTAATCAAATGATCATTTACTTTGCTTTGCTGCTTATTTTATTTTCTTGCTTTACCACTTGTACAAAAATAAAATAGGCCTTTGCAAATGGGAAGAGAAATTTGAGAATGCACTTAAATCTTTGGTAGTCCTTTCAGCAGAAGAGAAGAGTGCAATAGTTCCTTGTCCTTACCTACAAAGATTTGTATTCCAATGTTTACTCAGAAAGACATCCTGTTTTGTTCAATAGCTATACTTATGGACAAACGTATGATTACAGCCTTAAGCTGCATATAATTACTCAGAATTATTGACCAAACTAAATTTGGTGATAGAAATCTGCAATTATGATCCATGGAAGAACAGCCAGGAGATATGATGGTAGTCTGGTGATGAGTTTCACTCCTTCCTCTACAGTTTTCCCATCAGATGTCCCACAATCCCTTACCACTGACCATGTTGCCTAAGGTTTCTGGGATATGAAGTCCAAAACATTTGGAGCTCCAGAGCCTCCTCCTCTGGTCATAAAGGTACCCACTATGTTTCCCCACACAGAGCAAACAGCAACTTTAAGGGGATATGTCAGTCACAAAAATGCAGTATGCCGGGGTGTGCATAGTTACATCACAGCTGCAGCCCTGAACCATTCCATCTCATTACCTTTGATTAATTGACATAATCATCACCAACCAGCAGGAGAGCATGACCATTAATTTTTCATGTTTGTCCCCTTCTCTTACATCCTGCCTAGGGTGCAAATAAAAACAGTGCACTAACACTCTTCTCCTCCAGTAGTTGCACAAGTGGTCATACATTTCTTTTTGTAGTTCCTTGGCACACTATTGCCCGCGCATCCAGTTATGCAAGCACTTGTGTAAGCTGAAAAAAGGCTGGATTCCCTTGTTGCGCAGAGTCCATAATCAGCTGCTTGCAAGTTCAATATTATTTCCATTAGTGGAATGGATACTGGTCATCCCTGGACACCGGCCTGGTTGGGCCTTCAGAACATTGCTTCTAACAGGCATAGCACTGGGCTATAATTTTTTTTAGTATGGTTCCATTCAGTTATTAGCTAATTAATCTGATTGAATGAAGTAAAGGTTTCAGGCCTCTTATTCATGTATATCCCTGTGTAGATGGATGGGTCTACACATTATCTCCCTGGAAATTTAGAATGAAGTCATGATGCTCACGGCTGTGTGAATAAATTGAGCAAGCTATTCTCCTGCCAAGTGAAGTTGCCTTTCATGGGGGAAAAACCTTTATGGAATCACATACAAAATGACTCTTCTCACTTGTATGCAGAACAGGAGGCAGAAGATTTGAAGGATGAATTGAGTGGACAAATAAGGAAGGCAGACAAATGGAATGTTAATGACAAATTGCATTATCAGCTGATATTATGTCTGTATTAAAAGCCTTGGGAAGACAGATTTTTATGTGGTAGGCATGTCAATTATTGTAATATCCCTGGGAACAAAAGGAGTAAAGACTGGAAGCAGTGAGTGTTTTTCCCCTAACTGGTTGCGGCTGCTGCTACAACTCTGGTACAAAACAGCTGCTGAAGATAAAAGAAGGTTTAAGTGGCTTGATGTCTCAGAGCTTACCAGGGAGGTAAGGTTGTTAAAGAAAGATTTAATTGATGCAAACAGATGCTGTCTTTTCTTAATCTATGGTGATGGCAGGCTGATTATTATTGCTTTGAAATATGGGCAAGGAAAACCTTTGATAATCGGCAATTTCTGATTCTCTTTAAGAGATGCTTTAACTAAAACATTCATTTAATGCTTGAGTATGATTATTTTTTTAGAATGAGGAAGAGAGAAAAACACTTCAACTGGTCATGTGACCCATATCACTTACATACTGTGTTGTAAATGAATAGGATTTTTTAAAAATGCATTTATCTGTTCACAAAAAGGACAATAGCATTACATATTTCTGTTAAGGGCACTTGTCTTATTTTTGTACTGGCCCCACACTTTCTTTCTAAAGGAATGTTTTCTTCCACAGAGAAGCCTCAGTTGCATAAGAGCAAACAGGGACATCTCTGAGCTCCCTGCTGTTATGTTCTCATAAGTCCTTGCAATCTTTTCCTGACTGCATGATCTGTGGCTTGCAAATAAGTTCCATAGAGAGTTCGCATTTTAGAATGCAACAACCTCTCCGTGATGAGTGGAAGGAAAATAAGTGGCCTTACATGAGTTACCATTCCATAAGCAAACTCTTGTCTGGCATCAGTGGTTCTTAACCTTTGTTACCTGGATGCTTTTGAACTGCAACTCCCAGAAACCCCAGCCAGCACAGTTGGTGGTGAAGGCTTCTGGGAGTTGCAGTCCAAAACTCCTGAGTAACCCAAGGTTAAGAACCAGTGCTCTAAACTACTGATGAACAATTTGTAGACCTGGCAAATTTGCATAACTTACAGTGAGGGTTGACGGGCATTATAGTCCAACAGTATCTAGAAAGCCACAAGTTATGCATTCTTGCTCTGAACTGTACATGTTTTTCCCCCGAGAAAAGCAAAAATCCTTTTTGCACAAGCCTATACAACATCTGTCAAGCTGAACACACCCCCACCAGCCATGTGAGGTTCAAGGATCTCATAGACTTGTGACTTCCCTAGGAGTGTGAAAATAAATGGAGTCAGTTTTATCTTATCTTCCTCTTAGAACTGAGCCTCAATGCATGGCTATATATGGTAGGGATGGGCACCTTGTAGTCCCCGGGACTGCAGCTCCTGTCTTATGTCATCATTGGCTATCCTGGCTAGAGGTGATGGGAATTGTAGTCCTACAGCATCTGGAGATTTTAAACTCAACCTCTTGATTTAAATTCCCCAACCCCAATGAACGGACTGTTTCCATCTTAGTGGGTCACTACATGTGCTTGAGAACTGATGCCATGTTGCAGATAAAGCAATGGGCTAGGAATCAGGAGACTTGGGTTTGAATCCCTGCTTGGCCATGGAGACTTACTGGGAGGGATGCCAATAGTAAAACTACTCCTTAACTATCTCACATGCCACATGGCTATTAATGGTCAGAATAGGCACAATTAGGTAGGGTCAGGCACTGTTAGGACTGCTATAAGCCCGGTGTGACTTGACAGCACATAATAACAACAGTACATGTACTTAGTGAGTTAAAAGACACTGAAAATTGTTAAACTGTTGAGGGTCATTCGTTTGTGTCTGGTCGATAGAAACGGTTACTCAAATTTCATGCCACCAGAGGGGCCCACATTAATGCTTCTGTTGTTTTCACCAAAGGTGGGGAGTCCAAGTGAGTCAAACACCCTTACGATGGAAGCTGGAGGGAGGGAAATGCCTGCCTGTATCCCAAAGTGAGTATTTTAACACAAAACCAGAAAGACCAGAAAGAGTTCACACAGGCAGATGAGGGAGAGGGGAGGGAAAAGGAGATGTGACCTTTTGGGGAAGTTCTGCGTTCCTCGTGCAGGCCTGTGTGTCATTGGCACCGTCCTGGCAAAGCTCCAAGAGGTGGGCAGACAAATGTGGGCTGCCTGAGGGAATTGCATGTTGCAGGAATGAGGGGTGCTGATTCTGTGCATTGAAGGGAGCCCTAAACATACTGGTCTGTCGTTCTTAACAGAGGGGCCAAAGGCATGGCACCTGAGCTACTCTCTTACCCCTAAAGATGGTCTCTCCATGGAAAGGTTGAGGCACAGTGGTGGGGCAATGTGGGAATGTTTGCAGTGCTGCTGCTGCTGCCCAGGCTGTATCTGCTCTATAAATAAATAAAGGACTTTAGTTGCCAGAGCTGACATTTTCGTACCTTCCATAAAACATAAACATTAGGGATTTTAAAAAGAAAAGAAAAAAATAATGATATTATTTTAAAAAGAACAACCCTGAATTTAACTGTTATTAAATTCAATCACAACCCAGCGGGTTGAGTTGTGAGAGAGCACCTAGTATTTCCTCTGCTTCAGTTTGCTCTCTTTTCTTCCCCTCTGTACGAGTTTATGCTTTCCGTTCCTAACTGTGATAAGAATAAAAGTTATGGACCTCTTTTGGTGTTTCTTGATGACACCGGTTGCTGCTCCACCACAACTCCAGGGCTGCCACCAAACAGGCCAGGAGCAGGCCTATTGCCAGAATACAGAAGACCCCTGCAAAACTGTGAAGCTTCAAAGCCTTTCCATCCGTCTGTGCGTTGGTATGGCTATTCAAATCACAGCGTCCCATCCGTGGCCACCATTTTTCTTTGAACACGTCCAAGTATCCAGCTTCTTGTAGCTCTAAGATCCTGTGGAAATTATTTGAGGGAAAAGCTGTAAGCATTATTTTTCTCCAAGGAAAGTCTACACAGACGAAATCCGTGGCTGGAAGCATGAAAATTGACAGTCAGTACAAATTGTGTCACCAGAGAAAATGTATACCAATTGTGCAATAAACAAGATGTGGACTCTGAAAATGTCCGTACAAATCAATACTAATAACTTGAGACTCAAAAAGCTTCAAAAAAGGAAAGGAAATGAAGTATCAGTATATAAAAGCCTTTTCACATATTGAGTTGGATCCATCGGTGCATGACCAGAAGGAATATCAATGGTGTGCAAGACTTAGTGTAACATGGTCTTGGAACACTGTTAGTGTTGAGACACAGTACGTGAACTAGAGATGGGGAAAATTTTTAAAAAATTGGTGATTCATTTTGATCCATTATTCAACAAGGTTAACGGATCAACGAATATATGAATATTCTTTGACGAATCAACGGATCGATCTGTTGATTAATTTGCACTTTAAATGGCTATAACTCTGGCCCCCAACCATCTAGAGACACCAAATTTGCAGCAACGCTTCCTCAGACGAGTTCCTACAACTCCTGAAAGTGTGGTGAACACTGGAGCATGGACCCCTGAGTTATATAGTCATAAAGAGGACCTCCAGGAAAGCTCCCCCCAGGTACTTAGAGACTCCCAAATCACAGTGGAGCTTCCAATGTCTTTCCCCAACATACCTACCAACTTTGGTGAAGATTGGCTATCAGACATCCCAGTTATTCACCCAAAAATTGGTTCCTCCCCAGGAGAGTTTACCACACGGCACAGAAGCCCATTCTGCCTACTGGCCGCCGATCAGCTGATCAGAAGCATATAGGCAGCCACACACACACAACCCCCACAACAGCCTACCCCCACACCCCATTCCTTTCCCTACCTTAGCCCCCATTCCACTCCCACCAGCACTCCCTTACCTTAATAGCTGCTACTGAGGTCTCCATCAGGCCTTCACAGTGTAAAAAGGGAGACTGGCTGCCCTTTGCAAAGATGGCGACTGCAGCTTCATTTAGGGTAGGAAAGCTGCAGCTGCCATCTTTGCAAAGGGCAACCTGGATTCCCTTTAAGGGAGGCTAAGTGAATCCAGGCTGCCCTTTGCAAAGATGGCAACTGCAGCTTCCCTACCCTAAATGAAGCTGCAGTCACCATCTTTGCAAAAGGCAGCTGGTCTCCATTTTTACATGTGTGTCTCCAAGGCCAGAAGACCTCGGCAGCAGGGATTAGGTTAGAGGGTGTTGCTGGGGGTGGCGTGGGGCCTAAAGTAGGGAAAGGAAGGGGGGGGGGTTGGCTGTGGTATTGGGTGGCTGTGTGAGGTAGTGGCTGCCTTTCTAGAGCTGATCAGCAGCTGATAGGCAGAATGGTGTTTTGATTTTTTTTTTATTTGAAGGATGAATAAAATGGGTAAATATTCATCCCTTCGTATTCATGGGGGTCTCTGGAACCCACAAATACGGATTAACGAATATTTAACGAATTGGCTATATTTGTCGGGGGAAAAAATGATCCATTTTTATATTCATCCCCATCTCTAACGTGAACCCTTTCAAAGAGTTTTGTTACAGTGAAACTCATAGAATCATGAACCATACTCTAGCTGTTCATGGCCCCAGTTCCCCATAGTTTTGGAAAGAAAACTGGCAGTGCTATTGCATAAATACTATCTGGTTTTAAGCTTGGCCACTATGGGTGTGAAGTTACAAACTTGTTCTAAAACAAGCCCTAACAGTGAAGGAATACACATGCACACACCTGTCTTGATGTGAAGTCACTTCAAAAGAGAATCTCTCAGTATGATCTTCTGCAATATGATCTCTGGGTTTAATTTGTGCTGCCAGTTCAGTATTGCTTTGCAACAGGAAAGTAGCTGAATACCATCTGACAAATTTCCTTGCAAACAGCAAGGCAGTTATACTCCTGCAGTCAGGGCTTGTTTTTGTGGATGCAGTAACAGACAGTTTTATACTGATGTGCTGTACTGCATACACTACTGTGACCCAGAAGTGACTGATGTATGGGATAGTCATCTCATGAAAATGATGAAGAGGTGTGGCCTCAGTACCACACTGCACATGAAGGCATTAGTAAGAGCCATTATTTAAGGATTTTCTGTTTAGCTGATGCATCTGCATTAGTTAAAGCAAACAAGTGCTGTATTCTTATGAGTGAATAACACGTCTCAGTTCTGCCCTGGTACAATGCTAGACATAAGTGTTCCATAGCCTGCAATCCTCCATGTTTCCATATGTTAGTCCAATGGCATACTGTTGAGTCTATAATCCGATAATAAACCAGATGACACTTTACGTCATAGAACAGAATTCCCCATTCATGAAACATCACTAGTAGAGTAATGGCAAATTCTAAATGTAAATCTTGTAAATCTTTGCTTATTTCATTTTCTTAGATGAAAATTTTCAAAACCTCTTCCTTCCTGGGCAAGATCAGGAGACAGTAATGTTTTGTTTTGTTTAATTTGTTGTATTTTGGGGGTTGTTGTCCCTGCCCCACCCATTTTTCATACAATGAGACCTTTTTTGTAAATAAATCACAGAAGTAGCTTGGGCACAGAAAACTTGGATTTTGAGTAAAATACATAGTTTCTGATACAATGCAACATTTTGTGGGGGGGGTTCCATTTTTCTTGTGAACGTTGATGATTCTGGGGGGAAGTGCTGGTTTTTTTGTTTGTGTAGGAGTGGGAAATTAGGCAGACGTTGGCAGCCTTTTCACCAGCATGCTTTGATGTGTCAAGGCATCCCTTTTCATCAGGCACAACACAATTTGTGTTCATTATATCCTTAACTCTGAAGTATAGGTAGATTTTAATACAGTCCCTATAATCATGCCCCCAAACAGAATGGAAAAACCCCCTGCAGGCAGCTATTTGATACATATTCAGTTTTATCATCTTTCATCGCCATTCATTCTTTCACAAAGGTAAAGGGTCTTGAATTAATTCAATTAATTAATTAATTAAGTTTATATACCACTGACAGTGAAATCAGTACTTGGGGTGGTTTACATGCTATAGACGACCCATACAACCAACAAAAAATAATCTATAGAAAACACCCTCATTCCCATTAACCAATCAATCAATAGTAACAAAAAGGCAACTCTCTGCCGATGCTTGACAAAAGAACTCTAACTAAATCACAATAAATCATAACAAAGTAAACAAATATAATCCCAATATATCAGATAAAGAGTAACAAAATAACTTCAAATACAAAATATGACATACTGCTCACAAAAAATTAACATCAGATGTTACCAAAGACTTCCCCAAACAATTCAGTCTTCTATAATCCTCTGATGGTTGGTAGGGAGGGGTGGCCTGTCTACTTTCTAGCAGAGGTTCATTCCACAAGGAGGGTGCCACTGCTGAAAAGGCCAGATTCCTAGCATTGGTTTTATTTCCTTCGAGGTACGCACCCTCAATAGTGAGAACTGAGAGGCTCGAATTGGTCAGGCAGATATTCTTGGGAACAGGCGCTCTGTCAGGTAATGTGGTGCCAAATCATTTAGGGCTTTATCAGTGCAAAGTACACTCCCCTGTGACTTAAAAAGTCCCTCCCCATAATCAGTTATCTAAGGTTTTAGTGAGGTTCCACAAGATGTTATCTTATTCACTCTCCCACTGCACTTTCCCTTTTTTACTTCAATAATCATTTCAAATTTCTATGCTTCCAGGAATTTTCATATTTAACTTTCAAAGAGAGATGCCCTTAACAAAATTAATACCTCATTTTAAAGACTGTCCATTTTAAAGACTGTGGTATGTTGTATAAGACCTTACAGAAGAAGCTGGAACATTAATGATCTGCTTCTTCCTTCTCATGCAACATAAGAATGTCCTTCTGTTAGCAGAACTTTCAGTTCTTGGAAGGCTGAATGGTGGATCTAAACATTAAGTTTTTTAAATACAGTAGGACCTCCATATCTGCACTCTAAGCCTCCCTCCCCCTGGATGCTGGAAACCACAGATAATAGCAAATCCTATGCAAAGCATGATCTCTGGCCAGGTCTGGTAATTACATGTTTGTGTTTTTTTTTCTTTGTATATTTTCAATATTTTCAGTCTCCAGATAAGTGAAACCATGGATACCAATCCTATGGACACACGGGTCGTCCCATATACAACTGGCATTTTCCAGGGTACAGCAAAGAGTGCAATGTGTTAATATGACAAATAAGGGTTTAGAAACAAAGTTATTATCCAGGTACACTAATCAGACAAATTGGGTAGGCCAGACCATTGAACTCAGAAGCAAAGCCATGGTTTTTGTTGAGCCACAGATAAAATGGATCTTGTAGAAACATCTCCCATTGTTCCTGCCATTATACTTAGATTATAAATCATCATCGTCATTACATGCTGTCAAAGTCAATTCAGACTTATGGCAACCCATTTCAGGGTTTTCCAGGTAGAGAATACTCAGAAGTGGTTTACCATTCACTTCTTCTGGGGGCGCCCTGGGACTGTGCAGCTTGCCCAAGGCCACATGGGCTGGCTCCACTTGCAGGAGGCACAGTGGGGAATCGAACTGCCAACCTCTGGCTCTGCAGCCAGATACCTAAACCACAGAACTATACAATCAGCTCTGATTATAAGGGGGACAAATAATCAATCACCCAATGAATAATACTTCCTTTAACGTGTTCATTAATTCTCAACTTCTGTTTTTAATGGGGTATTGCACTCTCACACAGTCCCAGATCCTAGAGCCAGCCCTATACAGGAAAAGGCTGTATTAACAGTGGAGCTGTTCAGCATGCCAAATCTTTGATGGCCTTCTCCTTTAACATTCCCATAGAAATCACCTGAGTTGCTAAACAGGATGGGCCATGTTTTGGCCCTGAAGAAGGGACACAATGATAACATACTACTTGCAAATAACAGCTCTTCAGCAAAGCTCTAAACACCAGCAAACAGGATCCTTGATAATGGGTTCAAGGAAGCTCTAAACACCAGCAAACAGGATCCTTGGTTTGGTCATGATAATGGGTTCAAGGAAGACTGCTTAGTATTACCTTTGGGAGAAGATATCCCTGTAAGGACTGCCATGCTGGAGTGCTATGCCATATCCTTTGCTACTGATGCTGTTTCCGATTACTGTTACTGAACACTCGTCATCTGTCAATGCTGCATATTCCACTACTGCAATATCCCACAAGAATGCATAGTTGCCTTTCTTTGCCTGTAAGAAACATCCAGAATATTAATAACAACAGTTTAAAAAGTGAACTCTGAAGACAACTCCTAGGCCTAAATTTGTTCTGTTAGATCCACTCACACCATTCATTACAGACTTTTATAACCCTCTTAAAAAGTGTTCATTCATTGAATACGGAAATCTCATTCATTTTAATTTAAAAAAATCTTTGAGATTCCAACAAAATTACAGTTATTTTGCCAGAGTCAAAAGATTCCAATTTCACTGCATAGCATAATGATATTCAAAATGCCCCAGAAAATGTCATTAATTTTCAAACAGAGTTTAACTAAAAGCAAAAAAAAAAAAAAAAAAAAAAACATTTATAACACACATCCATATGCATCACCTCAAAAAAATTAATATCAGTTATCGTTGAACATCCTTCAGATAGCTCAGTTAAAGTGCTCTCTCTTCAAATTTACTTCAAATTTCATTTTCAGTTCAATTCAATAGCAATTCAATAGCAATTTTATTACTTCTCAGAATGTTCAGGTAACATTTTAAGGAATCAGGACTCTGAAATACTATGCTTTCTACTAAGGGCATGTTTTCACAAATTTTTGGTGGCCTGCTATTGAAACAGCCCTCCAGCATACATTTCAGATATGGACAGGAAATTAAGAATCAACTTGATAACTGAACCAAAGAGTATGCAACTCACCATGTTTTTTCCCCAACACCAGTCAGCCAAATGCTTGTGACCAGTCATAAGTAAGCCAAAACAATAATCACCTTTCCTTCTTGTCAGTTCTCAGCTTCTGATATTCAAAAGTATGCTGCTTCTGTTTATAAAGTTTCCCCTTACTTATCAACATTAATAAGCATTAATAGCAGGGCAAGGGGTCTTACCCAGCATAGGAGCTATAGAGCAGGGTGCTTACATAGTAAAGATGTAAATGCAGATGTTTCTTGATTCCACCACTTTCTACAGGAATTTCTGCCTTTTTTCTTCCCTTCCCCAAGGTTTCCTGGCCTGTGAAATATTCTTAGTTTTCTACAATGATATATTGTGCATTGTTCCTTAGGTACTACACATGAGATGACACCATTCTCCATAGGATTCCTTAGCAGCATTTCCTCTCAATTTCAGGCTCTTAGGCTAACAGAACTAGAAATGGGTACATAACAAACCATGAAGCAACCCCACCCCCACTGTTTTGTGGTTCGCTTCAGGCTATTTGGGGAAATGTGCCTGCTCAGAATGAAACGAAATGGCAAACTACTATTGGCGGTGATTCACAAGCTTCATTGTTCATGTGATTTGGGAGTTCCAAGCATGGTAGAACCATCCCTGCATGAGTTAGACATTCCAAACTCTCAGTGAGCCTTCAGCTAACTCTCATCCACAACTCTGCCAAGTTTGGTGAAGATTGGATTTGTGACATCCAGGTTATAACCCCCAAATCAGCTTCCCCCAGGAAAGTGCTCTTCAACAGTGCTAGGGGGAGATGTAACTCAGACAGCTCACATCCAATCTTCACCAAACTTGGAGGAGGTGGGGGGGAGGGTCAGCTGAGGTCAAGCTGTGAGTTTGGCCTCTCTACCTCATGTTTGGGACATTCTACCGCTCCTGGAAGTCCCAGATTTCACAAATCACAACATGGTTAGTGTAGCGAAATGCCAACAGGTGACATCATTTCCTGCCTGTCCATCACAGAAGCTCAAGAGGAAGGAGCCAAGGATAGGGCAGGAGGGGCGGAGTTAGAAAGACAGTTGGAGATGTGAAATGGCAGTTGGGGTTTAGAAGTGAGAAGAAGAAGGTTAGAGAATTGAACTGAGAGTGTTAGGAGAGGGAATTGAGAAGGTTAAAATATATTGAACAAGCAGGAATTAAGTTATAAGTACTATAAGTGAGAGATTGAGTAAAAGTATAGAGTAATTTGGAATAAAAGTGATTGCATACATAATCCAATCCATGTTAATACCTGATACAGTTCATACGTGATTTACCTTTATGATTTACTTGACAATAAAAGAATATTTGTTAATTAAACCTCAGATTCCTAAGTTCAATAACCCTTAGTTTTGGCAGCACATGTATAACATAATTGGTATTAGGAGAATACCTGGTGGTAGCTAGAAAAGAAAAAGGGCATGAGCTTTTGTGAGGGCCAAATAAAACAGGGGCCACAAAGACCATCACCACAGTTAGGTTTGTCAGAAGGTAAGTGAAAGTTCATGAATAGCGATGGACCAGAAATCACCATGAACTCCTGTTTTCCTGGTTCATGACATCTTTAAACAAAAACTTTTGAAAAGGACTAGTTTAAGAGCTTAGAATTGACAAATGCAGCAACGAGACAAAAATTCTGTAGAGGATAATCAGGAACGAGCAATGCAGGATAGTTTAGCTTCATCCTGCACAGGAAGACAGCATGATTTGGCATGTGTGAGTGGGAGAGTGGGACAGTGTTCAGCATTTCTCAACATTGCTGCTCTGAAAAATCTCTCCATATCTGCGGACGTCCTGGAGAGATTTCCTAGTGGGATGAAATGTCAAAAATTGATGGAATTGAAAAAAATTGCTGGCTACATCCCTATTACAGAATATATGTGCTCTTTGGAAACTTTATCTTATTTGGTTCAGGATACCTCTCCCACGTCAGTTAAAAGGGTGCCTCATGCCACTAGCTCAGGGACTGCACAATTCCTGGAGCCTTAAAACCAGTCTTTGTGGGCATTTGCACTGTTCTACCTGAGCCATGGGTAGTTTTGACATCACCTCACAAGAAAGAAAGAAAAAGAAAAAAACCACATGAACGTTCAGAGGCAGTTGAAAATTCACCGAACATTGAGGTGCTCTTTGACAAAGAACACAAAGTTTAAAAGCCTGTTTTTGATCCATTCTATGAGTCAGATCAATTCTCTCTTGTCGTTTAAGCAAATATACAGTTACTACCCCTACCCCACCAAATTTTAAATCCAACATTGGAACTGAGAGAAAATTTTTCAGGAAATATATTGGATTAATGCCAATGCTTGCTGAGAAAAAGTGTAAATACCAGTTCAATTCAGAAATCACCTGTCATGACTTTGAAAGAGTAATTATTTTATATTTACACTTGATTAAAGTAATGCGTTCAGTAACATTATTTGATTCTTAATTAAAAATTGTGGTGTTCCTCAGTGCTAACAAAGTAAAGCTTGGCCAGTCCAAGAATGAAGCTGGTTTCAGAAAAAACAGTGAACATTGTCTCTTAGAAATCTGGGAAATAGTGAGGTAATGACAGAAAGCTCATGTCATGATAGTGGAAAGGCGCTGCATTTGCCCGCTAATTTTACTTGTGGCTAATATTGACTTATATGAGTACACACCTACACAGCTCGTACGCAAATGTCAACCTTAATTGGGATTCCAAACAGTGACTGCACGCTGCGTGTATGATGAATGTAAATCATTTTCATTAGCATAAGATGTAAGAAGTATCTCTGGATAGGAATTTAGTGAGTAAGGGGTAGGAAATGATCACTTTGCTGGGTTAAAGTAATCAATGACTTCCTAATGTATTTAAATAATGTGTTCTTAAGTCTCAAGCGAATGTACAAAGCACAGTGGAACAGATGGGCTGGAGAATCTAATGCAAATAAATGAGCAATCATAAATGCAGGCTCTCAAGATACCCAATCTTTAAAAACAACACATTTAAGAGAGATGAATGTGCTGTCAAACTGTGGATCACCAGTGAACCCCATTGGCACATGCACATTTTTTATTATTTTTCTTTAAGGCAGCTTCTACATTTGGATTGAGGACCAAATTCAATGCTGTTCCAATTGGGTCCTGGTGAAAATGGCCACAATTTGAGTTTCTCCATCCAGCTCTGTAAAGTGTAGTAGAGTTTCACTTGCCATTTGTCACCAGGTTCATATGGATGTTAATATAGATACAAAGACATAAAAGCCCTCTACTAGATATTATGGTAAATAGACAAAGCTGCTACTAGCCATTATAGGAGTGAGGCAGGGAAACTAGATGCATCACATATAGATCAGTTCTCAAAACCCTTTAAACATTCTTTGTTTTTCCCCAGCAAGGCCTGATTAAAAAGTGGTATGTGGGTAAGAGGGGCTAGGCATCTCCAACAGAACATCTTCAATCCACTGACTCATCAAACTGCAATTCCTAGAATTCTTTACATTAAACGGGTTAGGAGTTAAACTGACTTAAAACAGGGCACACCACAAGAGATTTACACCATAGCTGTATCAACTGCTACCTTTTAGCAACCTGGGTAATTAGACTGGTTTCTTTTAAGCATGCTTGCCTAGAAATGATTACACTGTTTCATGAATTCTGATTACAGTGTGATGAATTCGAAGCTGGCATTTCAAAAGACAAAAATGTGAGTGAGCAGTCACTCAACTGCAATGAAGTGGCAGAATGAAAATGAACAAGTTCAACAACAAAGTACAGTTGTCAAAGGTGAGGTCTTGTATTGTGGCAGCCCTTGCATCCTGCAGGAAGCAAAAAGCTGGGAAGTCAGATGAGGCATGCCAAGAGAAAAAGCAAGTGGAAACTTCTATGTAATGCTGGAGTAGAGTTTTATGGATACCCTGGACTTCCAGAAAGACAAACAAGCAAGTCCTAGATCAAATCAATCCTGAATTATCTCTGGAGGCAAAAATGTTGAAACTGAGGCTGTCCTCTTTCCAGAACATCCTGAGAAGGCAAGATTATCTCGAAAAGACAATAATAGTGGGCAAGTTTAAAGGCAGCAGGAAAAGAGGATGACCAAATACGAGATAGATTGACTAACTAAAGGCTTGAGTTGTTGAGGACAGGACACTGAATTATTATGTGATGCAAAAAAGGATACAAAAATGAATCCATTGTCAGCAGTACAAAATGAACTGTATTACAGTATAGAGAAAGCAAGTGTCTTAACTTCTTAACTCTGAATGATCAGTTTGAGCAAGGATGTGGAAATCTCTTGGCTCTTCAAGGCAGTTTGGTAGGGACCACTAATGGCCTAATGGCCACT